ATGTCTGTCACTCGGCTAGCGACCATTGAAAACCAGCAAACCTAATCTTGGTTGCGGTCACGCCACAGCCGCACACATGTCAGTATAGTATTATGAAACTTGTTGTTTAAATGTTTTTACGTTGTTTTTTTGTGTTATTTCGTTCTAGTTATTTTTTTTCGTGTTTTTTTTATAATGAGTGTTTAAATTGTCGCAAACGACTTACCGGAAAGCCTTTTCCGCAATGATGGCACATCTTATTGTTTGGTCTACCCCTGTGTACATTTCTTATGTGCTGATCCAGACCGACTCTGTTTTTGGATGGCTGTAGAAAAAAATGTGACAGTGGATGTCCTATAGTGAACCTAATCAATGACATAAAACAAATTAGGATTGAAAACTGTATTTAAAATAAAAATGGTTACAAAATATTCAATTTCAATGTTTAAATTTTTATTGAATTGATATTCAATTATTTTTATGTGAAATTACTCTTGCTTACAATTGTTTAGTTGGTATAGCGTCTGGCACGGTATGCTAGAAGACGTTGGTTCGGATCGAAGGATTTTTTCTGAGTGTTCGATCTTTATATTACTAACATTATGTTCACAACACATTTTTATCTTTATTTTTTTATGATATTAGGTGACGGGACGAACAAGTCGTGCGCCTGGTGGAAAGCGACATGCCTGTCCATAACAGTTGCAATGCCATTCCGAGCTATAAATCGCAAAGATCTTAGGGGTGCTGGCACTGCGCCCGTCACGCTGAGACATAACTTGACAAGTCCCATGTGCCTGTAATTTCACCGGCACCTGTATTATGTCCAATAAAGAATTATTATTATTATTACGCTCAAGATCTGCCAAAGGGCGATGGAACGCAGCATTCTGGGTTTCAAACGTATTGACCGAGTACGCAATACAATGGTGCGTTCGATGACTGGCATTGCTGATGTGGGGAGCAACACAGCCAGGCTCAAGTGGGATTGGGCGGGCCATGTTAGCCGGATGCAAACTGTGTAGTCACGAACGTCGTCACTCCTTGGGTGCCAGAGGATAGAAAGAGACGGCGTGGACCGTCGAGAAGGCGTTGGTGCGACGATCTTGATGGGTTTGAGAGAGACTGGTGGGAGATCGCCAAAAGACAGGGAGCAATGGAGGATTTTGGGGGAGACCTTTGCCCAGCAGTTGCACATAATGGGTTAATTAAAAAAAATATATATTACGCACGTTTCCGTAACAATTTTGATGTAATGTCTATAATAAATCAAAATGAAAGGTGGCAGGCGCAGTGGCAGTGCCTCAAAATCTCTACAGCTCTAAGTGACACTGCAACTGTTATGGACAGGCGTGTCGCTTACCACCAGGCGCATGACTTGTTCGTTCCGTCAATTGGTATATAAAAAAAAATATTCCCTGTGTTGTCTGAGTGTTTGTAGGCTCTCATATACGACGTACCTTCAAACAAATATGGCAGTGAAAAGATTTGTGCAAATGCTTCTCTTCAATATGATCCCGCAGCTTCGTTTTGTCTGCGAACCGGCGTTTGCAGTGGTCGCAGGTATACCTATTACGTACACAACAAAAATGTTACTTATATAATATCAGTACAGAGTACTGAAAAAACCGACCTCAAATGTTATTCATCCCCAAGTTTCCCACCCTTACAGGTGGAATATGATCTTCAAATTTTAAATAGGACCACTACTAAGGTAACCTCTTTCTAACAAAAAAAGAATCATCAAAAACGGTTCACAAATGACATACATACAAAAAAAATACAGTCGAATGGATAACCTCCTCCTTTTTTAGTCGGTAAAAAATTACATCATGTTATCATCGAGGTCTCGACATTGGTAATGAGTACAGCACTATTTTTTTTAAATCCGAGTTTCGGAGTCATTAAAATTTTTTGAAAAAAAAATATATTAATTTTATTTAACTTATATATATTTATTTCACAAAAAATTTATATTTATACATGCCTATGGTCCTCGCATGTTCTTGAATTTAGTTTCGTTTGTGAAAGTCTGGTGTCCATACTAGCATTAACCTGTGTTACAGAGCACCAGGCTCTCATCCTTACACCTCTAAGCAGATGTAAGAAAGAGATAAGCATAAGACAGGAAGACACGTATACTTAAACAATTGCAAAAGCATAAGACAAAAGGTTGCGTGTACTTAAAGAGTTACAAAATAAGCAAAATGAAAATTAACTATTGTTAAATTAGTTTTAAATACATTAGAAAACCATTGACTTACAAATAAATGGACGACGGGTCTAATACAAAAACCACGAAAAAATGTCCCAAGTCAACCTATTTAAACGTAGTGACATGTCGAGGAATATGAAAAAGCTAAAACGTTGAATTTAAATTGTAATGTCATCGCAGTACTGTCTAATTTTGCTTGCTTCGATGTCAGTCGAACAAACGAAGACTAGAGCGTGAATGACGCTCTGTATACGATTTTAACGCCCTATAAGTTCGAACACTTTTTAGCGCGGACCCGACGTCCATATAATTGTAAGTCAATGTGGAAAACGATTGTTAGTATGTTTTGTTATAAGTGTATGTATGTCTGGGACTGTATTTATATGTATTAAAAATTAAATAGAAATAGTAATGGTCCTACTGAAATTAAAAGAAAATATTCCACCTCTAAGGGTGGCAAACTAGGGGAGGAATCCACTTGCACGCGCTTTCCGGTAACCGATTTCAATAACACTTGGCAAATAGATGTAATTCCACAAAACTTTGAGTTCGGTTTTTTAGTACTCTGTACTTAGATTATTTGTATCACTTTGTGAGTTTATTATATCTGATATTTCGACTGAAGGACGTGAATCCAAGGTCACAAAATGAATTAAAAAATTTATTTACATATTCACCCCTTTTTAAGGCCTTTAATTGCCCGATGGGAGTTGCCTCTATAGAGAAACTATGAACTTACTTGAGATCAGCTGGAGTGACGTGTTTCAGACTGTTTTTTAAATGCCTCTGGTACGAAGACACTGATGAGAAACTGATGCTGCACGAAGAACAGTGCGCTGCTGGTGTTGGTTGCTTGTCCTGAAATCAGAATAGTTTATTGCGTAAGCGCCGAAACACACAATACGTGATCTTAAAAGTAAAATATAATATAATAAACTTGAAACTAGAATACAATACCTGCAACAAAAGTTAACACAGAAAATTAAATTGCATTGAAATGCTCTAGCTAAACACTGTAATATTATAATTATTAATACAAAGATCGAACACTCAGAAAAAAATCTTTCGATCCGGTCGGATTCGAACCGACGTCTTCTAGCATACCGTGTCAGGCGCTATAGCGTCGTATAACGTTCGTATATACATACATACATACATACATTATATATATATATATATATATATATATATATATATAACGACTACACTATAATAACGACTTTTGGCCGTAGCGTCATCTATGAGAAATCTATAATATTTCGTCACCCAGTTAGATAGTTAGCTACCTTTACAGCTACCAGCCCCGGCTAGAGATGTCGCTATTCATTGTACTATTTTTTTTTTGCACACACTCATAGCCCCGTACTAGGGAGACCATGTATTGCGGGTGCCACGGACGCACACACATAGACAACCACAAATTACACACAAACTCACGAGAGAAATAAGGAATTAAACCCGGGACCTCTGCGTGGCAGTCCAGCACGGTAACCGTTCGGCCATGGAGGCAGTTATTATGAGTTATATATAATAATATATATAAGTATGAGTTATGCTTTAAAAAAAGATAATGGCACACGCAACCGGGTCTTGCTCAGGCTGAAAATCTACCTGTAGCGTTGGTTTTCAGCAGGCGCGATACGAGTGAAGCACGGACTCGAGCGCAAACAAAGCAAATACATACATAATGTGTGCGTGAAACTTGGTATATACTAAAATATTTACACTAAATATATAATACGAATACATAAATAAATAATACAACATAAGTTATTAATGGATATATCGACACATCCGAAGAACAGAGTCCGTTGTGATTATATAGCGAAAAAAGAATAAGTAAGTACGTTACGAGACCAATTTCGTAATTCAAACTAAGGCCTATATAAAGGTGTTTTGAGAATTTATATATCTTATTTCGTTTCGGAAATATAAAATCGAACAACACTCGATCTGACATCCACAGCGAAGAAGAACGAACGAAATGTACTATGTCCTGAGAACAACTGGTCTTGCACATAGACCTTTGTTCTACGCATGAGTCGTATACATATGTTTATGAAGATGTAATAAATACTGTGTGAGAAATAAGTAAACATTTCGTTTCTACCATGTTACTTGTAGACGTCCGTCATCTTTCATCTATTTACCGCTAGATAGCAGCACATTGAATAAATTCTAAATATAAAATAATGACATAAATGCATTGACTTACAAATAAATGGACGACGGGTGTAATACAAAAACCACGAAAAAAATGTCCCAAGTCAACCTATTCGAAATTTAAATTGTAATGTCATCGCAGTATCGCGCTGTCAGTCGAACAAATGAAGACTAAAGCGGAGTTTGGCGCTCTGTATACGATTTTAGCGCCTTACAAGTGCGGACACTTTTTAGCGCGGACCCGACGTCCATATAATTGTAAGTCAATGCATAGATGTAATTCAATTTAACATAATACCACCATAACCCAACGGATCTCCCGTTATAATCCATCTAGTTCTCATACTAACAATCAGTCTACCTTTCATACAAACAGTCAAAGGCCTGTGGTATCGAACCAGCGTCCGTATGCCAAACTAGGGCAACTGTTCTTGTAACTGACGACTTCCGTATTCGAATGGCTTGCATGCCGGTTTTCAAGGTGTCGCCATCTCCCGGCCCGTTAATCGAACCTGGGACCTTTGCGTGGCAGTCCGGCGTGGTAACCGTTCGGCCACGGAGGTGGTTAATGAATGAGTTCGTTCAGAGAAGTACTGCCACCTTACCTATTTCTGCCGCCAAGCAGTAATGTAAGCAGTACTGCGTTCCGGTTTCGAAGGATAAGGGTGCTGGTTAAATAACAGGCACACGGGACTTGTCAACTTATGTCTCAGGGTGACGGGCGCAAGTGGCAACGCCCCTCAGATCTTTGCGATTTAAAGCTCTGAGTGGCACTGCAACTGTTATGGACAGGCGTGTAGCTTACCATCAGGCGCACGACTGGTTCGTCCCGTCGCAAGTACTTTCCTGGACAGAAACCTGGTGCTTAAATTATTATTAGATTACCTTGGCTTCATGCTTTTCGAGATGCCTTTTTAAACTGGTCCTCCATTTGAATACTTTGTCACATATCGTGCAGGGGAAGTCATTATTGTACTCGTGTACCGCTCTGGAATAACAAAACATTTTTAAAACCTATATACAAAGTTATCACGACACGCAAGACTTTTGACACCGACGACCCTGCTGTACCTGTCGCGACTATATTACTCCACCATGTCTGAGGAGATAGTAGAGTACATCAGGCCACAAGCCAAATACAACCTGAGAGTTGAGCGGTTGGAGTCCCGCCACAACGTAAATTTTAATTCTATTGTGGTGAGTGCTGACAGACTCACTATGGGCCTCATAAGAAGGCTCAAGGTCACTCAGCGGACAATTGCGAGAGCGATGCTCGGTATTTCCCTACGTGATAGAATCAGAAACGAGGAAATCCGTAGGAGAACTAAGGCAACCGACATAGCTCGAAGAATTGCTCAGCTGAAGTGGCAGTGCTAGGAGCATAGCTAGGAGAACCGATGGTCGTTGGGGCGGATAGGTTCTTCAATGGCGACCGATCGTCGTGGAGATCGTTGGGGGAGGCCTATGCCCAGCAGTGGGCGTCGTATGGCTGAATGATGAGAGTGCCGATTGAACATCTGTCGGCCTTCAAGAAGGAAGAGTTTTGGCCGAAGGGTGTCATATATCGGCGGTTCCGCGGCCGATTACCTGACACCAGATTGCGCCACACGTTGCCAACAAGTGCAATACGTGTAGATTAGTTGTTTATTTTATTGTCATATTATATTGTATGTATGTTAGTCCTTAAGGTATATATTACATGGGTCATGTGGCCTGGAATAAATGTATAAATAAATAAATAAAAAAAATAATTTGCTGCCGAGGGAAACACACAACTTTTCACCTCACTATAGCAAGGAAAATCGTAGACGAAAGAAAAACATTTTAAGTATAACAAATCAGTTTTAATAAAATAAACAGCGTTGATACTGTCCAGGGGGTGCCACCGCATTTGAAAAAAATGAATTATCTATAAACCACACGACATAATATACATTTTTGTTCCTTGTGATTTTTTGTGTTAAGTTAACATAAAAAAATACGTGTTCTCAATTATTTTTTGTAGTGGCACCACTTGAAAATAGAGAGCGAGAGAAGCGTTGAAATATTTTTTTTTTTTTGGGCGAAAAAAGTTTGGGAACCTACGAAAATGAAAATGTTTATATTTGCTTTTTAAGTTGTTTTTACACAAGGTTGGGACTTCCTAGTAGGTGTCATCCACCTGTGACAGGAAGTCCCGCTCTTCCATTATCTTTTAGTTGCATGAAACAAACTCGATTTAATTTAATAATGTTCTAATGTACAAAACTAATTTTCAAAGTTAACAAAGATGATGCGATATGCTAAGCTTAACCAATATACAAAAAATATTGTGAATGATAAATGTAAATGTAAACTAACATATACTTCACGCCTTTTCCCATAGGGGTAGGCAGATACAACAGTCTTCCACTTGCTACGGTCCTGACACACACCTTTCGCCTCATCAACACGCATCAATGCTTTCATACACGCTCGTCGGTTAAGGGTAGGTACTCTTGACCCGGCCCTTCTTTAGGATGGCCTCAATTTGGTCATGATAAGTTCGCCTCGGTTGGCCCGTACCAACTTGCCCGCTCACACTCGCCTTATAAATCTGTTTCGTCAATGTTCTTTCATTCATTCTCTCTGCAGGTCCGAACCATCTCAGCATCCCTTTATCTTTGTCACCTATATCTTCCTCCACGCCACAACGCTCTCTTATCACACTGTTCCGTAATTTATCCACCCGTGTCACTCCAGCCATACTCCTTAAAGCTCTCATTTCTACTACATTAATTCTACTTTCATGCTTCTTCTGCCAAACCCAACATTCACTACCAAAACTTTGCCTAACGTGCCTTTTTAGACACTTTCTGGCTGCCCCTGAAGGAATGCATGACACCATTCATGCCAGTCACCTGATTCTGTAAACGAAACTGAAATGTAAACAAAACTCAAATAAATTATAATAAATGTCGTAAATGACAAACGTATACAAATGCTTATTTACCAATATTTAATGCCGTAGAATTTATTGCAGATTCCTCTCGGAAGAACCTGCCCCGCGAATGAATAGTAGAGATTAATGAATATGACGAAGTGTAATTTGCTTCTATAGAGGAACCAAAGTATATAATAGTATATAATATAATAAATGTACATAACAGCAAAAGTAAGAAATGATATAGACAATTCAAGTATTCTTTATCCAGCACCCCTTGGACAGCGTGAACACCCCACAATTGCTTTCGAAGCCTCTCTCTAGGACTCTTCAGCGCGCACTGGGGGGCAGTAGGGACCATTTTGGGAAAATATGGTCTGGCAGATTATTATTACTTACAATCGATGATTCATGAGTCCAGCTCGATGGCTAAAGGTCTTATCACACTCTGGACACTGTACTCTTGCTTTGTGCGTGTCCTTGTGGTAGCGGTGGCTGTCTATTGAACTGAAAATTGTGGAAAATCATGGTTGGGTTTTATCTTGGACCATACATAAAACGTTTAAAAATTATAGTGATATCACAGACACTCTCCGCCCCTCCCTAGCTTTAGATACCGCACCACGCCCCGCACATTGACGGAACGGCAACAAGGCTGTCGGCGAGCCGTTATCGCGCTAAGACGGCTTTGATATTTGAATATAGTTTTCATTTATTCATTACGAAACTTGTACGTTAATATAAAACATCATTTTACGTTACTATTTATAATGGTCGTGAATTGTGCTCTGTACGGCTGTCTGTCATCATCTAAACGGGATAAAGAGAAGAGTTTTTTTCGTTTTCCGAAAGATGAAACGAGTTAAGTAAAAAAAGTCTGAGACTCATTCAGTTATTGTTTTCTTCATTTATTTAATGCAGAGTAATATATAATACAGATTTATTATATCAATATAATGAGACGCCATAACTTCGTGAGCTAGTAGACAAGGGTTCTCGAATTTTCAATTTGTATTGCCGATAAATATTACGTAGTGAATATACCTAATTATTAACTAAGTAATGATAAACTTGGACACGTAATTTCAAATACCTTGGTTACCTTATTTAAAAGTACCTGTCCAAAATATAACATTTTAAGTGCTTTTAATATATTTTTAAATAAATCTTCAATATTATTCTAGTTAGTGAATTAATGAAAAACATAATATTACATCGATATAAACACCTAATGAACATGTGTAATTATTAGGATTCTATTAACAGAATTATAGGTAATACATTTGCGTTAGAATTTTCGCTATGTTGCCACTCTGACCACGTAACGTAATAAATAGAAAGTGATGGGTAACCCTGCCACTTCACACACACATTCTCGCGTGTGCAGATAGCGGCTTACTGTATGTAGTAGTAGTAGGTAAATAACTTTCGACTGTTGTATGGAGTGTCCAGAGTGTGTCACAATATTACAAACTGTGGTAATAAATAGTAATAATAAATAAAATATTCGTTATTCCCAGTCGTCACCACTGGCTTTGTTCCTACTGGCGACAAATCTTAACAATAAAACTGAAACTTAATAAGATATACTGAGACTAATTAGATTTAAGTAGGAAAGGAATAAGGAATAATAACGCACACACTCAACATAGCCCCGCACTAGGGAAACCCTGTGTCGCGGGTGCCATGGACACACACATAGACAACCACAAATTACACCCAAACTCACGAGAGAAATAAATGTAGGCCATACACATATTTCTCCCGGCCTGGGAATCGAACCCAGGACCTCTGCATGGCAGTCCGGCATGGTAACCGTTCGGCCACGGAGGCAGTTAATATAAATATATAAATAAGGAATAGAGCTACTTGTGAAGGAGTGCGTGTAAGGAAGTACTAACACTTGACCTATTTCTGCCGCCAAGCAGTAATGCTTATTATATCATATGGTGGAGCAAGTCGTACGCCTGGTGGTAAGCGACACGTCTGTCCATAACAGTTGCAGTGCCACTCAGAGACACTGCAACTGCGCCTGTCACCCTAAGACCTAAGTTGACAAATCCATTAATTTCAGCAGCAACTTTACCCTCCAAAACTGGAACACAGTACTGCTAACATTACTGCTTGGCACCAGAAATAGGCAAAGTGGCAGTACAGTATAATGAACAGCTGATAGCGCCTACAAATTATTATACGTGTGGCGCACTATAAGTTTCCGGAATGAATAAGAAAAAATACAATAAATGGTCAGAAATGAATTTATTGTTTCTCAAAATATTCTCCGTCAGCGTCAATGCACTTTTTCATACGAATAAACCAATTTTGAAAACATTTTTGCCGCTCCTCCGCGACAATCTCTGAAACATATTTTTCATACTCTTCGACAGCCTCTTCAGGTGATGAAAATCGTAGACCGCGTAACTGGTTCTTAATTTTTGGAAATAAATAAAAGTCACAAGGTGCTAGGTCGGGACTTTACGAGGGATGGCTCATAAGGTCAACGTTGTTCACCTTCAAAAATTCATTTGTCTGTCTGGCCGTCTGAGAACTGGCATTATCGTGGTGCAAGATGATATGCCGTTTACGGTTATTTTTGCGGAGTTTGTCAATAACTTCCGGTAAACAAACGGTCGTGTAGCAATCACTATTCACTGTACAACGATTCTCCAAAGCAACAGTGGCCACGTGTCCAGTTTTATTAAAAAAAAGAAGCAATCATCCGCTTAGAGGCACTTTGCACGCGCGCCACTTTGGTTGGTTTCGGCTCATCTCGAAAGACCCATACGCTCGATTGCTGCTTTTTTTTTTGGGATCATAACTATAAATCCATTTTCGTCACCTGTTACTATGTCCCACACCAAATTTGACGCCCCTTTGTTGAATCCGGTAAGCATGGCATTGCACCAAGTGACGCGATCCGTTATTACTTTAAAATATTGTTTATGTAAGTGGCCAGTTCCGGAAACTTATAGTGCGCCCTATGTAGTCTGTTCCAAACCAACTTCAACAAAAAGTAAACAAAACTTGTTGTTTGATTAAAATTCTAAAGCAATCACTCAATAAATATACTTAATGTACACTCTGCTCACCGGTACGGTGCAGCAAGCGAATGGTAGAGGGTGAGGACTGAAAAACAGCAATGCTGAGTCCTTAACCATTTTGTCCACATTGCATACTCTTATTTCTTATTGGGCTGATCTTGTTATTACAATTTTATGTGTTTTGTGGAGAAATAAATGCCTTTTTATTTTTTATTTTATTTAAATCGAATAAGTAACAGTCTCACGTATATTTCGAAGATTTCGACTTGATATCTCATCCCTTTTTCCAACAATATTTATTTGAATAGCAACGTAAAATTGTATTTGAAAAATGTAGTCCAACAGTGAGGTTGCATAGTTCTGAACGAAAAAAAAAAACATTTGGTTCATTCAATTAAAGTTTTTGTACTCTATTAGTAAATCGAATATTTCAATCGCAATCGAACGAGTATCTAAGTTTAAGGATTTAAAGGAGGACTTAAAATTAAGATTTCGGAAATTTTAAATATGCTTAATAGGTTATGTAGGGAAAACCGCTAGTATGACTCAATTGAACAAATCGATTCATTCAATTAATTAATCGATTTGTAGTTGGCATTACAAATGGCCATCACTAAACCGTCTATGGTCGGGTTAGTGATTTGTTTGTTTACTTACATTTTGTTGAAAATGGATTGAAACGAAGTATAGGCTAGTAACTTACTTGGAGTTGTACCCGCAAATATTGCAAGTATACTGTTTAAGCGTAATCTCATGTGTGCTGTAATAATGCTGCTGCATCACCCTGAAGTCCATTGTGCGTTTATGGCAGATACTGCATTCGTACCTAGTAGATAATGTTGCTTTTAAATTAACAGTCCTGTGGCCGTAGCATGGCATACAATGTGTGATAAACCTCTCCGTGAGATATTTATTTCAGTTAATAAAGCGATGTTGCCATTATTAAATTTTTTTATTGCGAATACTGAATCGGTAAGATACCTCACTTGAGTCATTCGTTCTTTCGTTTATTTGGTATCTACGTCGTTTAATCATCGCCGCGAAAATGATGAAACAAAAAATTCGCTGGGTTTTTGTAGTTTCATTTCATTATTGAAATCATGTATTGAAAAAATTTTGTTTTTTCCAACAATGTGAACGAACTAACATTGTGGGGTTTTTATAGGGCCCGTGATCATGACTGGCTCATTCAGTCTCATATAAGCTCTAACGCAGATGCGATATTCTGTACAACATATTATGTTTCATTCCTATATTTCTACTGCACATCTATTTTACATCTTGTATATTATGTAGTGTGTGTAAAATAGTTCGCTTACCTTCTCGTATGCCTTTTGTAATGCGACGTGAAAGACTCGTAGGTTGCGATAATCGTCTTGCATATTGGACAGATGTATTCACCAGAATTCTGAAATTGTAAACACATTTAATGGTCCCAGACTGGGCGCCAAAATTACAAAAATTGAGTACTTGTTAATTATAAAGCGACGAGAATAAAAAATAACTTTTAAAGATTCTGACAAGCTATGAAATAACGTACGAAATAAATTTACACATCATATAGTGGTGTTGAAGCAACCGTTTATGTGGATAATGACTCCATCGTTTTGGAAAACGATTCCCCCAACGTCAGGGTTGGAAGACCGGCTATACGCCGGGGTGACCCGGAGCATGGCCTTATACGGGGCTCCCATAGGGAGTGGAGCCTTATCAGTGGCGACGAAATCTCTGCTCAGGAGGCCCCAGGGGGCCCTGCGAATGTGCAGGGCGTACATGACGGTGGTCTGCGCTGCCGCATGCGTCCTCGCCGGTACTCTGCCGTGGGACCTCGAAGGGCTTGGTGGATCCCCCCCATGGAGCTCGTACCATAGGGGCGATCCGTCCTGTCCTCGTAGAGTGAGTGAGCCGGTCCCACGGGCCACTGTCGTACCACCTTGTGCAGGTGCTAACCGGGCACGGCTGCTTCGGTCACTACCTGCACAAGGTGGCGAGGCGACCGTCCCCGTCGTGCCACGAGTGCGGTGCTGCGGATGACACCGCGCAGCACACTCTAGACGTGTGCAGCCGGTGGGATGAGCAGTGCCGTACTCTGATGGGGACTATAGGGCAGACCTTTCGCCGGCGGGCGTGCTTGGAGGTGGTGGCCTCCTTTTGCGGAGAGGTTATGTCACAAAAGGAAGCTGCGGAGCGGATGCGCGAGAACGCGGCGGACGCGGACCCGCTTCGGCGCAGACGTACGGGGAGAAGGCGAAGGCAGTTCGCTGCTCGCCTGATCCCCTAGTGAGGCCAGCGGACTCTGGACAGGGACTCCGGAGCCTGCATTGCACGGAGTCACTCGTCTGGAAGACGGGTCGGAGGACAATCGAACCGCCCTTCCGTTGGCACGGGAGCCTTGGCGCAAGCTAGGGCGGCCGGGCGGCGTCGTGGTGAATGTTCATCGACCCCACGGCGCCGACTCAACCGGCGAGAGATAAACCTGAGGGGTTTTAGTGGGGTAGGCCCTCAAGTCTGAAGGGAGAGTCTCCACGTAACCCCAGAGTCTCCCTGGGCTCTGGGGTATCTATAAAGATTTCCCCCATCAAACAAAAAGAGTTTGAAAACTCAGTGCAATGGTGAGACAAATTGCCGGTTATTAGAACAATTTAGCGGTTATTAGACAAATTGACGGTTATTGAATGGATTTTGCGTTGGGCCGAATAAGTCTTTGCTTATATAGATTTTAAGACTTCCGTGGTTAGTCACTAAATGATTATCACTAGTATCAGGTTTCTTACCATGGTATGACTTCTTTTTATTTTCCCGATATTTCGGAACGGTTGCACGGTTAAAATATCGGGAAAATAAAAAGAAGTCATACCGTGGTAAGAAACCTGATATTAGTGATAATCATTAAGTCTTTGCTTAGTATCTAGTTGGAACAGAATATTGTGGAATGAGTGTAGTTGAGATAAAGCAATTGCTTGCTGATTACAGTTTTATGTTATTAAGTTTTCGAAATTTGTATATAGTGGACATTAGTGGGCGTTGGCCAGAAAATAATCGATGATTTTTACATTCTATATCAGTTACGGATATAGAATGCAAATCAACACATTGTGTAATTCAGGACATTGTTTGTTGTTATCAATAATGGACACTGGAAGTGGTAAGATCAAAAACTTACCGCGGAATGTTTCGCTATAATATGCGCTTTGTAAGATCTGCTATAGTTAAATCCCATAATGCACGTTTCACACTTGTACTCGGCTCTGATATAGCTCTCCTTAGCAGCTTCCTTTGCTCTCTCTGACAGCATCTCTTCGTACGATAGCTCCAATATTATAATTTTTTTATCATTAGTATTTGTCCGTTTCTGTATCTGCTTCTGTACCTGAAAAATATTAATTCTCTGATTAGTTGCGCCAAGCAGTAACACCCTAGTGGAAAGACTGTTTGCCTTCCATGTAGGTGGACAACCAGAGCCTAGCTGTGGGATACATCAAAATTAAAAAGATTTGTTTTCTATCGTGAAATTATTCTATTTATCGTAATTGATTCAACACTTTGACTTTTGTGTAGAATCAACCAAAGCCAGGTTGTATCCACAAAAGCTACTTCTAAAACGACTTCAGGGCTTCTATGGTCGTCGATTCTTCGAGTTTAAGAGTGACTCAAAAAGCAAATCCGCTATGTCTCGTAAGTGTATGTGTGAGAAAAAGACAGTGTGTGGAAAAGAAAGACAGAAAAACAGTGTGTATGGTGTGTAGGAGAGAGAGAGAATTTCCTGACGTTAGAAAAAACAATAAAGACACAAAAAAAAAGAAGGCGGTTTCATGTGCGTAAGCGTGTGAGAGTGTGAGTGAGAGAGAGTGAATGTGCATATGTGTGCATGTGTTACCAGACAGCTATTTAGTGTAAACTAACTCCACAGATAATATACAAAAACTAACCTTATTTTCAGTCTTCAAACTCTTAACAATTTTCTTAGTTCTTTTCATTTTATTCTCAATTGGTTTCTTTCGTTTTTTCTTCTCCTTTTTGTTTATTAATGATTGTATTTCTGTCTCTATCTCTCTTGTAGACATCTCTGTTTGATCGTCGTCGGAGTGTGCCGCGTTTACAGCTGAAAAATCAATCTTCATTATTACAGTTACTATTAAATTCTAGCTCGAAGCGATGGTAACTGGATAGACAACTTATACTTAACCTGATAAATAAGGGCCAAAATGGAAATAGTCAGTCACAGTCACAACAAATTTGATACTAGAAACATTTATTTCACATTATCTTTGACGGCCGACTACATAGTGGGCGTAATTTGAGAAACTTTTGTAAATTGGTCCTGGGGGTCTACTCGAGATTAAGTAACGGTACGAACAAGTCGTCAGCCTGGCGGTAACCATAACAGTTGCAGTGCCATTTAGAGTTTTAAAACGTAAAGATCTGAGGGGCACTGCCACTGCGCCTGTCACCCTGAACTATTTAAAATTTTATGAAAACTGGCAACCCTACAAATGTCATTTTACTCATCTTCAAATAAGACTGGCTTCAGTCCTGCAAGGTTGTTAGCATTTAAAAAATAACCTTGTATATTATGGGCTCTTCAACACTCGCAATATCTTACCGGAATTATCAGCATCCCATTCATCTTTCAACTCCTCCTTCACAAACACTGACTGTACTTCAGGTTTCGCATCTTCAATATTAACTTCAAAACTTTTGCGTTTAATTTGTCGCCCTTCAACCTTCTGAACTTCATTATCTATATGAATTTCATATTTTTGTGGTTGTTCATATTCAGGTATTATCTCAATTGGTTCATTACGGTGCAATTTAAGACGAGGCGGACGTGTGATATCCGTTAGGAGGCATTCGTGTAGATTCTGTAACAGATATACTTGTTAATTAAATTTTTATTGAATTGATATTCAATTATTTTTTGTGAAATTACTCCACTAGTTTGTTATAATCATTAATACAAAGATCCAACACTCAGAAAAAATTCCTTCGATCCGGTCGGATTCGAACCGACGTCTTCTTGCATACCGTGCCAGACGCCATACCAACTAAGCCACTCTCAACTATATATTAATATCAATTCAATAAAAATTTAATTAATACAGTGAATAGCGACATCTCTCGCCAGGACTGGTAGCTGTAAAGGTACCTAGCTGGGTGATAAATCTGTCAAAGATTTCTCATAGATGGCGCTACGACTAAAAAGTCGTTGAAAAACCAAGTACAAAGACACGACGGTCCGTTGGTTCGTACCGTGGCTTAGTTGGTATAGCGTCTGGCACGGTATGCAAGAAGACGTCGGTTCGAATCCGACCGGATCGAAGGAATTTTTTCTGAGTGTTTTTTCTGAGTGTTGGATCTTTGTATTAATAATTATAACAGATATACTTGTTTTTTGGGAAAAACAATATGTCAACCACGCTGGGCCAATGATAGTTCACACGTTTTCACTGGCATTGCAACATATCGACCTTACTTACTCAAACTCGTATCTTATAAAGAGTGATTATTCAGCAGACGGCAAAACTTTCTATTTACTTTGAATTTCTTACCAAGGGTGAAAATTTGGATGCATTACTTTAGGAATAGGGATAAGCCAGCATGTGAATATGAAGGGAATGTGTTGTGAAATCAGGCTGCAAAATTTGCATATACAATCCATTTTTTGCATGTCAGTAACTTTGTGCTTTAAGATACGAGTTTGAGAAAGTAAAGTGAATAATTTCAAATAATTTCACAAATAAATTTTGCATTCAAAAGCAGATTTACTTTTGAATTACCTCACTAGTGTACGTCTGTAGTATCCTGTAAGAGTCTTTGACCTGTTCTCTGAAGGATACAGCTTTGTTCAGCAATGCTGAGCACTCCCAGCAGATGCTCGGGCAAGATTGGAGAATGTTGCATAACTGAAAAAGGACAAAAATATAGCATATCATTTATGCACCACAGCTCCAACTATATATGTTTAGCGGCTAAGCAAAGAATTGTATAGCAATATTGCTAACTAGACAAAAGCAAAAGTCGCTAAATATTAAAAACAAACTAAAAGAATATTTTTTTTTTCATATTTAATATATTTTTTCTTTTTTTATAATATCAAATGCTTGACACTGTACTTTGGACCATTCTTATCGTAAGTGGCATAAGAGTTGGATTTAAATCTTAAGTGTCAAGCTTGACGTGCTCTTGACCCTGTTTAGCGAAGAATACATATTAAGATTTTTTTTCAAGTTTTTTATTTTTTTTATAATATCAAGTGAAGGGACGAACAAATCGTACGCCTGAAGGTAAGCTACACGCTTGTCCATAACAGTTGATAAGATTTCATTTTTTAACATCTAGTTTTTATTGTCTCTATTGAAAACAGCTGCAAAACTAAAGGACACGTATTTTTTTTATTTTGTCTAATTTTTAGTTTAAGTATTTTATTTTTATTTTTGAAAAGTTGCTTGTTCCAAAACGTCGTAAGTACCCCTGAAGGACACCTGGAAGTGTCTGTCGTAGTCTAAAGCTCTTTAAAAAAATCAGTGACAGAAATATCTTACTGATTGATGTTTGATTTTTGTTTGTGGAGGAGCGTGTGCGATTATCAGGATTGTTTACTTGCGATTCTTGTGAAAATAAGAAAATTGCGGATGGATTTTTCGTGGCAGATAGCCGAAATCTACCAAAAGTAGATTTATTGATGCTGTTGCAGTACATGCGAGAAAACGACAAGTATAAAATTGCAGAAATTCGCGAAGCCAAAATGCTGGTTTCGTCTAGGGATTCGTATGCAGAATTCTCTATTGGATTTGTATAATTAAAACGAGACAATGCAATTTGTACCGTAAAGTGCGCCGTTTAACCAGAGCACAGAATCCTGTGTAAACCATAGACTGTAGTTGCAAGCATAAATGAGTCTGAATAAATAATAATAGACTCCAAATGCGAAGATTCTGCGGCTGCTGCTGGTGGATATAAGCATTCTATATGTTTTTTTATGTGGCTTATTAAACGTATGGAGGAGCCGGCTGTGACCAGTTGCATGTTATTGGTCGCGCCCAAAACCATCTGAAGCAGCCATGAAAGACAAGTTTGTTCTGTCCAAGGAAATGGGACTCAAGAGGCCTAGGCAAATTCCTATGTCTTCAAATGCAAAAAAAGAAAAATAAATGACTATTTAATGACAAATTATAAGGCGAAAAAAATAACGCCGGATACATATAGCCTATTTAACTTAATTTTAGAGAATAACTTACCCCTCAGAGGGATTAAGCTTTGAGAATATTAAACATTTTACTGAAGAAAAATTAACACCACAAGTAAAAAAAGAAATACAAGAAAGTACTTGATAGATGTTATGATCGATGTTAACCAGTTTCATTCACACAGTTGCATCCACACACAAACAAACAATTGTCTACTCATTCATCCTCACACCATCCTCATCATACCACACACACCATTAACATAACCGAGCCAGTTACACATACAAACGTACATACATACCAACCCAAATAGATATCTCATACACATATCAGATAATCTCAGCCAGACTACTGCCGATGAATTTAGCAATGAACGGGAAAACAACATAGTTTGTTACTTTGTATTAAAACATGTTTTGTATGAATTTTTATTTGTAATAAATAAAAAAAGAAGCTTTAAAAGACGTTAGTTTTGTACATAAAATGAGGAGGTTTGTAACGCACTGCTGGCACCGCTTAAGTAGATTCTAATGTAGCCTCCACACATCTTGCTTAGCGAGTTCAAAGTTCAAAATTCAAAAGAAAAAGAAATTGTGGAAAAAAATATGGTTTTATGAAAAAAATATCTTATAGCTTTTTTGTGATCTTTTAAATGTTTATCACACAAGAGGTTTTTGATAACTGGTAAACGGGTCAAATTAAGATGAGCAGCACTGCTCGCTTCAGCAAGTAAGCAGAGAGAGAGAGACAGAGAGAATGGTGATGGAATGAAACAAAATGGAAATGACAAGGCAAAGGAGTTAAAGAACATTTCAAAATTTGAAAACAATTGGCCAGGAACCAGAGAAAAGGTGATAAAAAAGGTGGAATGACAAAGTAAGGAGATCACATTGTCACAAAATGGTACAAATGGCAAACAATGCCACTGGGCATTTCCTACTAGCTGGTATATATTCATATACTTAATTATTCCTTACAATATTCTAATGATGGTTTTAATCGCATGTAGAGTAAATTTTACTTTCAGCGATGATACAATCTTGAATTTCACATATATTGAATTACAACACTATTGTAATAGTGTGCGATATATAAAAAAAATCAACTCATATCTTACAATACTCATCTTAAGGTTCATTTTATACGCAAGAACTTATTGGTCCTAATGCAGACAACAGAAATGAAAAATGTATCATTAAGTAACGAACTCACAGTCAGGTAAGATAAAATCATAGAATTTTTTGAAAGTGGAACCTAAGTTGGGAACCCTGATGTTTGTATCGAGTTTGTATAGTAGAAAAACAATATGTACGTAATTACTATTAACTTACTGGAATTTCATTAAGAGTGTCTAAATAAAACTGCTGGATTTTCTGGTCCGTGATCTTGTGCAAGGTCCGGCCGACACATAAACATGACACACACAGCAATTTGTCCACTATTTCCTCCTTCACAATATCCATTTTTATTGAAAAAACTGTCGCCTTTACACAGAAGATATTATTACATTCCTCGTGTGTTTTGACTTATAAAATATTACTTTTATGCGTTGATAAGATCATATTTGAGATTTATTAGTAGTTTAACACTAAAATATGTAAAAATCTTGCAAAATAGAGGTATAAAACTGACGAAACGAACAGGTTTAAATTATTATATTGAAAAAGTCATAACATTATGGTTATTTAGCAAAATATTGCACTTAATTCGAGTCCCGCGAAAAAACTTTATTTAAATTAGCTTTGTTAAGTTAGAAACGTATGCTTATTATTAAGAATTTTTTTATAAAACACCCAGCAAAACAAACGCCATATTTGTTTATTTGTTTTTTTTTCTTAGACTTCGAGCACGACCTCGAGTGATGTTCAAAGCGATTGACGAATATATTCTCCGGTTGAAACTTTACGTTCCATGTCTATGATTAGATAAAGTAGCCCATTAATTAGGGAACATGTTAATTTATATTTTAACAATTATTTGCAATAAATAAAATGCTTAGTTCATTCGTTTCTACTGCCGTACAATAAAATTTGGATCAATACGTGGCATTACAGCGCTTGAAATTGTGTATTTTACGTACAAAATAAAAGCTTCATTTGGACGCAGTAGCTGCCACATGCGGGTAATGTAACATGGTTTCTTATTTTTAATTCTTCTTAACACTAAATCTTTCTAGAAGTTTTAACTAAAATATTCTTGCTTAAACTAAAACCTCCCAGCACGCATTGTCACATACTTCGAATTTCACCTGACGTATTGACGTACATAAAAAAGATCAATTTTATTCTATGTGTCAAATTAAACGGCGACAAAACATATAGCATTGGTTAAAATGGTTCGCCAATGAATGGGCGGGGCTCAGTTCAATTACTGATATTTTACCTTCCATAAAACGTACGGCAAATAGTAAACATAATTTTTCCATATTTCTTCATAATTTACAGGAAAATTATATTATAATTGGACAAACAAGGAGTATATGTCTGTGCACATGTTAGCCGACATGTTTCGTGTATTGACCGACTTGTTCGTAAATTAATAGTATACTTTATTTGTTCGGGCCATCCGCATCCGCGTGTAACTGACATTTGCATATTCATTTTTTGTAATGTAGCAACACCGGGTAAAGCAGCCATTTTGTGGTGTCGTAGGTGTGTTGAATAATCCTTCATCAATTTTCGGCTATTTTACATGGAAGTATTACTTTTTGTTGTGATTCAAAAGTTATCCGAAATTTAATACTTACAAAAAGTTGATTTTAAAAAGATTTATTCGATAATATGGATGCCGGCGTAGAGTTAAATATAGATAATAGTTACAGAACTGTTTGTAGTACGTGTTTGAGTGGTGACCGTAATTTATTTCTACTTAATGCTGTTCCACAAATTTATCACGTATTTCGTTTACTTATGTACGATTTTGCCGGTGATCGCGTGAGTATATATTTTTTCTGCTTTGTATATTATATTTGCTTTAAATAAGTTGTTTTACAAATTGTAAAAACGTGTTGTGGATTTTTATTTTAACATATTTCTACGTTTGGTTTCTACAGTTAGGCGTACGCTTATCTTGGAAAACATGCAGTGTTTTAGGCGCTTAATAGGCACTATTCAATATATCGCTTAATGATAAACTGTCGATGTAGCATATTCTGGAACGTCATATTTTCGAAATAGGTGCCTTATTTTCGAAATATCATATTCTCGAATTGCCATATTCTCGAAAAGCCATATTCTCGACATGCCATTTTCTCGACATGCCATGTTCTCGACATGCCATGTTCTCGGCATGCCATATTCTCGACATGCCATATTCTCGACATGCCATATTCTCGACATGCCATATTCTCGACATGCCATATCCTCGAAATGCCATATTCTTGAAACGCTATAGTATCGAAATTCTTGTTACGGAAAACTTCTGGAATGAAAGACCGTCTGCATTTTTTTATGGAGATTTGCCCCATCTAAAATGCTGACGTTCTTTTTATAAATACTCTTAGAGCACCTTCAAATTAGACGCTTTTAGAAGCACTGCAGAGACCTGACTGTGGCGCGGCAGCCGCGCATTTGCAGTGCTTAAGTAATTTTTATTTCACTTATAATTACTGCAAAAGTGGTGCGTGCGTGTCATGACAGTAGCACTGAAAGGACTTTGAAACTTCTAAATATTGTATAAAAATCAGTAGTGGTGTCCCTGCAGTGCATCTAATAACCCCAAATCTACTGGCAGAAACTTGTACATTCTTACCCTTAAACACTAAAGTATTTTGTTGTGTATACCACAATAATATGAAATATATTAACAAGTTTCAATTTATTTCTTTCTTTTTTTTTTAATTTTAATTTTCAGTTTGGTGAAACAATAGACATGGAGATTCTTGTGTGCTGGGAATGCCTGGCCCTCCTCAAAAAGTTTTGTCGGTTTAAACGGCAGGTGCACAGTGCGCAGGAACACTTGAGGGTATTAGCATTGAGTCGGGCTCAAGAGGTAATAATATATAGTGTAAATATATATAATAAAATCGATAAAATTTAAAATACAAAGTAAAATTGTAATATCGAGTTCTTAGGTTTTCGCGATTGTTACACATAGGAAATGAAGCTATTTTTCCGGATTTCAATTGCGTATATTTGTTTTTTCAAACAAACCGACGTTTCGGGCCCTTTACAGGTACCATGGTCACGGTTGACTGATCATGGGACCTGTAAAGGGCCCGAAACTACATTATATTATTTTTACCGCCCATGATATATATTATTATATAAAGATAAAAATATATAAACATATATTATATTATTTTTATCGCCCATGGTACATACATTGTTTTTCATCACATTTGCAAGGAAATAACAAGGGCGACTTTGTTTGCATGCCATGACAGTGTTTACAGGCAAGTGTGATGACAAATATATTAATTGCTAGCATTAATATACTATATTAAAGATGCTTCCTTGGTGTTGGTACCGAAGTCTACAATGTCTTTCTATTAGATGGACTCTCTGTTTGTTGCTTTTACAAGAATTCACAAATATAAAACTATCTTGTTCCAGACGGTAGACCACACATACATGTCTCAATCACTGTCATGCCTCGAGGTGGCCTCTAAAGCAGACTATGATAAGATATACTTTGACTATACAGCCCCTGAACAGGAATGGACTTCACAATACATAAGCATCCATCCCACAACAGCTCATGATGTGAAGAATGAGCAGTATGATGTCGCACATGCTGTAATAAGAGATAATGTGCAGCTAGATATTGATGATCAACATATTTTGGAAGGTAAACCTGATGGTGGCTCAAACCAAAATTGTTTGTTTTTACTTTTTATTCATTTTATAATTACAAATTACATTTCGCACATAAATTCCGAGAAACCTATTTATTTACTTATTTAGTAGCAGTAGAGCTCCTTGTGAAA